TGATGGTGAGTCAAGAGTTGATACCCATCTCAACCACTCAAACAAAATTATATTTTCTCTCTTTACTGTTTTTATTATTATTATTTTTATTATTATGTTTTTAAATATATCATTTTCTCTCCTCTGTTTTCTTTTCTCTTCCCCTTTTTTTCTCCCCCCTCTGTTTATCTTTCTTCCCTCTCCTCCGTTTTCTTTCTACTCTTTGTTTCTCTTCTTTTTCCTCTTTTCGATATTGTGTCTCTTATCTTCTCTATTTTCTCATCTCTTCCTCCTTTTTTCTCTCTCTTCCCTACAATTTTTTTTTTATTTTTTATTTTTAGGATAAAGTATAGTAACATCCTGAGATTTGCTATAAAGACAACCATATACAAGTTGGCTTATTTTGGACAATGACACCTCCTAAGGTTTGCTTCCTTTGACAAAGACAACCCTTAATGATTTGACAAGTGGTAAAATAACCTAAATATCTTTTGACTCAACTCTTTTAAATATGAAATGTCCAAAATCACCACTTCATCCCAAACACCTCCCCTAGAAAACCACCGCCGACACCTCCTTTCATCTCTCCTCCCATCATCACTCCCTCCCTCTAACCCTATTCTACAAAAACATGTATATCTACTTTATATAATAGTCTCTTAGCCATGAACCTAAAGCCATAATCCGACATATATAAACCCACTTTAAGCAACAATCATGAAGTTTAGATATATAAACCAATATATAGATATACACATATATTACATATATATAAACCATTGAATTCTACTTGCCATCATTTCATAACCTGAACCCATTTTTTTCTCACTCTCCCATCCATGAATTTGGATCTAACCAACACGATTTCATCACAAGTTGGTGATTTGGAGACTATATGTGCAAATTTTTACACCCGAACACTTAAGAAAAATACAGAAATTACGAACAAGAAGATGGGACTGAGTATAAGCAATTCTGATAATCAAAGAAATGTAATTGGAATTCGATGGATTTCCCTTCTCATTCATCCCTTATTTATATGTTTTTATAGAGCGTTACATCGGTTTTCAGATGTAGGCATTCATGATCCCTTGTTTCGCGGCATTTCCTTCATGGTGGGCGTTATAGAATTTTGAATATGCTTGGCTTGGGCCACTTCCTGGTCTACGTTTTGCTGCATGGGCTATGTTCTGCCGAATGGACTCATCAGGCGTTATTTAGGTTTTCTTATTGGGCATCTAGGCTGTGTTGGCCTGGCTTCAGGACTATTTACCCTAGAGATAGGCTTCCTTATTCTTTGGACACGTGTTTTATTATGATTGGTAGAGAAATTTCCCTCCACACTTTGCCCCCAAATTCCTTTGATGAATCAAATTCATGTATGGAATTGTAACTGTTTTAGGAAGTGGAGAAGTTTCTACGGCTGTTACTACTCATCATTGCCACTTTGGTTTCTGATTTTTGTGGTCTCGTGCTTGCCTCTTCATTATCTGCCTTGTATCTTCTATATATATATTGCATTCTCGCTATCTGATTGTTCACATCTGCAATCATACCTTGGCTTTAAGCAAAATTCTCATGCTGTTATTCAATTTTCTCCTCGTCTGTCAAGGTTAGTCATTCTTTTACTCTCTCATTCTTCTATTTCATTCTGTCATTATGAGTCAAGAGAGTAGTGAGCTGACTTATAGCGCTCAAGCGTCTGATTCTGCATCGGGAACGCCGGCGGTTAATGTGAGTGATGGCGTCGAGGGTCCAATAGTTCTCCCTTTAGATGTTGTAGAGAGGAAGTCCTTCTCTATCTCCCAGTTGATAAAGAAAAATCGTGTTCCTTCCGATGTTACCCTAAAGGAATACCCTTATGATTTGAATTTTAGTATCGGTGAGGGTTTAAAAGAGGGCAAAATGCTTTTCTCGGCTCTGTACTTGCCCGCTTTTAGATTTCCCCTTAATCCTTTCTACCTTCGAATTCTATCTGTGCTGAATCTAGCTCCTTTTTAGGTCAACCCTAACTTTTTTCGCATTCTTTGTTGCCTTCTTGCTTTGAACAGGGTTCATGGTCTGACCCTGAATCTTGTTGACCTCTTATTCTGTTATACACTTAATAAAATAAAGGGTTAATTTTACTGACACCCCTTCAGGTTTGGCCAAATATCACATTGAAACACCTTTCGAAAATTACTATCACTCAGGTCCAATTTTACTTTTCCGTTACTGACACAGTTAAAAATAAGCGAAAAGACAAATTTGCCCCTAAATTTTAATTCATTTTGATTCAAAATATCAACAAACTTAAAAGACAAAATTGCCCCCATTTATTTCTCTCTCTAAAATTCTATTTTCTTTCATCTCCCACCTCCTGCACACCCATCTTCCCTTCCAAAGTCTCAGACCCACTGACCACTCACCTTTCTTCTCCATAACCCATGTATATATTTATGTGTATATATACAAGTTTATACAAACAATCAAAGGTCGGTGGTTTTATGGGTGTCCAATGTCCACTCCCTCATGTGACCCACTGACCCAATATTCTATAGGCCCGTTTACTAACGCTTTCACTTTCTTACTTTTGCTTCCTTCAAAAATAAAAGTATGATTTTGATTTCTTAAAATGAAATAGAAAATGAAATCATGTTTACTAATACTTCATATTCTTCAAAATTTTGAAAGCAAAATAACAAAATCAAGTTTAATAATTATGATTTTACTTTTATTTTTTTTATCATTACTGTAGTTCTATAATCTACCATCCCAATCCCACCTTCTCCCAGTTCAAGTTCGCAACCACTATCCCCCATTTCTACCTAACTACAAGCACTACCAGAAACCACCACCACCTCACATCATAGCTTTCAAACATCAATAATGTCGTTGAGCTCAATTCATCGTCTTGATTGGCTTGCCAGCAAATTTTTATTCCAATCCATATTTTGCATATAGATTTAACTGAGCGCATGCTAGAGTTAACAAGTTTCAACATTGGCATTGGAAAAGGATATAAGATTTCTCATATATACAGTATGAGAAGCTTGACAATTGACCATGATGGGCCAATACAGCCAATAATGTCGGATTGGGTTAAGTTGCTGTTAAAGAAGACAAACCTCTTTCCAACACAAAATTAAATTCTCTTCCAGAACCAAAATGTTCAGCACCATCCAAAACCCCCTCTTCCCACTACAATTGCAATTGCTCCAATCACAGTATCAAAAAATAAAAAACTCTCCGATCCCGCCGCCGTGCAATCTCAAATTGACAATCAAACCAGAAATCTCAACCCATTATCTTCAAACCCGTAACTTTCACCGAAACCCCTTTGTCGCAACAACCACGTCAGTGAGTCTAGGCCTCGTAACACGATCATAGTCATCGCCAATTGGATGAGCGTTTTGCTGTTGTCGTCATCGCGTTGATTCTCCTTGTTGTCGTCGGAATCTTTCATCGTCGTATTCGTTGTTGTGTGCCTAACTCTTTGATTTTGTGCTAAGGATTCAGTGGTAAGAAAACAGAGGGAGGAAGAGAGGGGATTTTGTCCTTGAGGATGAGAGAGAAAAAAAATTCAAATTTGAGGAAAGCAAAACTTACCTAAGTCCTATCAATGCCGATATGGTGGTCGCCGGCGATACCGATCGGCGAATCATCTTCGTCGGAGTTGCCTATCTGGTGGCCATCATCGTGGTACATGGGAGAGACAATTGTGGGTTGTGGGTGGGAGAGATGATTGTGGGTTGTGGGTATTGTTATAAACGACGGAGCACAGCGTTTTTTAAGTTCCGCTACAGTAACGGAAGTAATTCCTCCGCTACAGTGGAGAAAACAAGAAAGTGAGAAATCTGTGCTTTCTTTTTCTTTTCTAAAATGTGAAAGTACTTTTTGAAAGTAAAAAAGCAAAAATGTGTTAATAAACATAATTTTTACTTTTACTTTCTATTTTTAGGAATTGACAGCAAAAATCAGAAAGCAAAAGTGTTACTAAACAGGCCCTATAAGTAGGCAAAACTTGTTTTTGAATTGTGACATGATGCTATGGAATTTCTTTTTCTTTTATTTAATTAGTATGAAATTATATTTTGTGCAAATTCAAATTCGATTTTTATGTTGTCAAAAATTATGCATACCCATTTGCCTCCTCTGAGTTCTATATGTTTTATATGTATATATTTTTAAATTCTGCATACTCATTCAAATTTTATATTCTATATTTAAATTTATGTTCTTCAGCGGTCTGGTGATATATGTGTGTGATTGTGTTTATATATGCGTGTGTGACTGGTGTGGCCATGTTGGTGATGGGGAATGTGGTGGTTAAATGTGACCCAATTTTTGTTGTGCAAAAGGGCAAGATGAGAATCATGTTAAATTTTTTTTTCAAGCTTCATCAATGAAGAATAATGGAGTTGGTGGTGCTGATGGGCGGAGACAGAAAGAGTGGTGAAAAGAGAAGCTTGGATAGTTTTGGTGGAGTGATGGGTATTTTGGTCACCTAATCAAACTATGGGATAGTTAAGCCATTTTACACATTAATCAATCCTTTTATAAGTCAAAACAAAGTCGAAAGGGTAATAATGTCATTTTATATGAAAAAAAAAAAAAAGTGTTTTGACAACACTAAGTAATTTTTGAAACATGAGTGAAAAACGGATCACAAATTTGTAATGTAAGTGATAGTAATTTTTGAAAGATATTTTAATATAATATTTGACCAAATCTAAAGAAAGTGTTAATGAAATTAACTCTTAAAATTATTATTTAGAAATTATTATATACCATAACCAATGCTGACACATAAACACATTAACTCACATTTTGTTTACCGTCAATATGTACTTATAATTGGTCAGAATCAATGATCCCCACATTGCTAATAAATTCTCCTAAGATATCGAAAAATTATTATATGGACAGCCAATCTTAACACAAAAAATAAAAAGTGGGTTAATGTTAATATAAATTTGATACTCCGTACGTTTATCTATGTGTAGGAGGTGTGATATAACATTATTCTAATCATATAACCCATAAGCTCAGGCCATGTGGTAAATGAAGCAGATTCCTCCTCTCTCTCTCACGGTGTCACCCAAATGATCAAATCCCATTCGAAATTGTACTTTCGACTAATTTATTTTACACACTCTCTCTCTCTCTCCCCTCACATCTCCTCACATTCCCAAGGTTCATTGTTGGAGCAGTGAAACCCATCACCAGAACACTGCCGTCCGGGACCATCAAAGATCTGCCGGAGCATCACCGGATCACCGTGGTGAGACCATTCTCTCTCTATCTCTCAAGCAGGTGTAGTTTTATAAATCCTCCGCTGATCCCTAGGTATATCTCACATTCTCTTCTGCAGAGAATGCCAGTATCTGAGACCTTTCTGATTCAACACTTTCATATTTTGTGACCTGTTTTATAAATAATCAGAAAATTATGTGAAGTAGAAATTATTAGTGAAGCAAATTAAAGAAAATTGCTTCTTATCGTCTTGAATTTGGCTGCTTCTTTTGCTTTCTCTTTCATAATGTTTCATTGTATGTATATTTTGTTGGTAGCTAGGGTTTTGTTCGGTAAATCTATCTTGTTACTACTTTTTCATGGTATCTAATTTTTATTATTATCATTATTATTATTTTTCTCTTCTAGTTTTCTATTCCCTTAAATCATGTCTTCATTTTTTTTTCCCTCATTTTCCTGGGTTATTGCTATTAGGGTTTAATTTAATTTTCTCTCTCACTGACTTTTGATATCCATTTTCAAAAATTTGTTAAAATTTTAGGTAAGCCATGAATGGAGACAAAGAAGCAGATGACGACAATGAACAAATTCAGAGACAAGTTCGGAGATTGGAGTATTCAATTACAGATCTTCCGATGCCCATCTTTGTCGATATTCTGCGAAGACTTCCTGTGAAGACGATTGTACATTGTAGGTGCGTTTCCAAATCTTGACGATTGTACTTTATAATTTTGGACCCTCAATTTGCCAAGCAGCACTTTTTGGGGCAAGAGCCCTGTACTCTGCTTCGGACCTTAGGTTCTGTGTCAAGAACGCTTTACTTGGTCGAGCCTGAAACTTGCCACAATTTTGACCTTGGGTACTGCTTATGTGATAGTGGTTGTTATGGATTTAGTACCTGTTGCTCTGATCAACGCGTTAAAACTCGCCACAATTTTGATCTTGGGTACTGCAGTTGGTATTGCAGTTATGATTCTGACAACGAAGGCCGTTGTTATGTTACCTGCTCTTATCAGTGTGTTAAAACTCATCACATGAAGCTTGACACCAAATTGAAGATCCCATTGCGCAATCCTGAAATGGTGCTCAACGATGAATTTGGTGATGCCCAAAGGGGTTGCTCTTCTAAACGCAGTGGAGTTAAAAGGAAACGTTACATCAAAGTTAAACCCAAAGAACAAAGATTCAAGATTGTGAATTCATGCAATGGTTTCCTTTGTGATGACCCTCTTGTTGTGTGTAATCCTATCACGGGTGAGTATACAAACTTTCCGGTGTTTGAGAGGGCTGGTGAGAAAAGAAAACTTTTCTTTGGTTGTGGGTTCGGCTTCAGTCCAATTACTAATCAATACAAGGTGATTAGAATGTTTAAGCAAGTGATTTGTGATCCTGTTACAGGTATAAAGACATATAGTAGGACGACTGAGATACAAAGACTCGGCACAGAATCGTGGAAAAGCATTGGTGGTGGTCCCATTTCATCTTATTAGCTAGCATTTCCCACTTATCTAGAGGGATGTATTCATTGGATCTGTATTGATTTAAGAAGTTCTGATTATATAGTTTCTTTCAACTTTGACAACGAGCAGTTCCAATCAGTTCCACCACCTCCTCGTACAAATGGTGACACCAACACAGTTAGTTTCAGTGCAATGCGTAAGGTTTCCATGGGAATACTAAAAGGCTGTCTATGGATATGTGAAGCCTCCAATTACATTAACATATGGGTTATGAAGAAATATGGTGTTCAAGAATCATGGACAAAATTGTTTGCTATTGATACTATAAATGATCCGAGGTGGTCTGTTGGTCTATATCAGCCAATAAAGTACCTTGAAGATGGAGCAATATTGATGTTTCATTATTTTACAAGTACTCTGATCTGTTATGACCCCGATGGACCAAAACTTAAATATCTAAAGATTCATGGCACTAAAATGAAATTCGAAGCAATCGTTCATAGTCCAAGTTTCATTTCACTAAAGGAAGCTGTTGTTGGAGATAATGCGATGGTGCTGAATATATATTCAAGGTAAAGATGTGCAGTTTACTTTCACTTCAACACTTAATTGTATTTATACATTTTGATGATAATTTTTTTTATTGACGTTTTCTTGTATTTCATCACTAAATTGCATTTGGATAAATGAAAAAGAAAATATATGAATCCTTCATCTTAACAGTGTTGTTTACCCCTCTTTTCTCTGGGCACTTGCTTTCAACAGCATATCTTTTTTATGTGGCCATTTTGTACGAGAACTTAAGTTTTGTGACATGCATCAACCTCAAAAGGATATATTGTTGGATAAATGTATACAGTCGGATAATTTGTTTCTAATGTGAGATAGTCAAATGTTTAGAATGTACATTTCCTCATAACCACTTTCTGAAATATCAATCTCGTCATCCATGTCTTTAGTAAATTTGGACCTCATATATAACAATGTTTGTTAGGATTTCACACACACAATCGGCAAATATAATAGATAAAAGCACGCACAAGCAAACAGAGATTTACGTGGTTCGGAAAATTGCCTACGACCACGGGTAAAGAACGACTATCTTTACTTCAAAACTTGATCACACTTTTTCTCCTCTCAAATTCGACTCACTTTTTCTCTATCTACAATTATCTCTTTCTCTCTCTACCTCTCTACCCAAACCCATCTCTATTTATAGTCTTCAAAACCCAATTCCTTGTTGGACAAGAATTATATCACTTGTGTACAAGGAGTAACCAAATCAATCTCAACTCTAAAATAGAAACCTAATGAAACAATTTCTCTCACAAATTTCAGTCTTCCAAAACATAAAAGGGAAACTAATTTCAGCAAATTTGAGCCACAAACCCAACAATATCTGTACTTGGGGGTGTGTAGATGATTCAATCTCTTGATTTATATTATCCATAAATTTAAATTTATTATCACTTTGCTTTACTTATTAGATATTGTCAAATTTTTAGTCAGTGTGATTATTTTTGTTGAATAAAAAATAAATAAAGTAATATATAAAATAACGAAGAAAGAAAGAAAGAAAGAAAATTTCATTCTTTTGTTGAAAATGATAACTTCAGCATGGGTGCAAATGATGTTGTGCTTTTAATGTTTGCGAAAGTATACAATGGCAGGTAGCAAATAGGTCTCATGGTTATTCCCTCTCTTTTTCTTTTGCACTAGTGATTAGAGACTGGAACAATAAGTAGTTTTTTTATTTTTTATTTTATTTTTTTATGTGTGTGTGTGTGTGTTGAATGATGAAAATAGACAATAAAACTTAGAAATGAGAAACTGTTCTTTGAGATGGAGAAGCATGCTAGGCACTGTCCTAAATTTGTTATAGCCTCCCTACAATGCCATTTATGAAGGTCTAGAATGACTCCAAGATACAACCTTATGCTTGCAGCCGCCTCTTTAAATGAGCATGTTCACCAGAAGATTAGTTGCCAATTTCCTGTCACACTGCCCATAAACTTGTAAAGATGATAAACTAAGTACACACACACACACACACATATGTATATATGTATGTATAAATATATGTAACTATATGTTTATATATAATGGGTAGAGAAGGAGAGAATCATTATAGTGAAATGGATAGGAAGAGTTGAGAAGTAGAAGAGATAATTATAACTTTTATAATAAAAATCACTATAAATAATTATTTATTGTTATTTATGATTTGTATTAAATATTCCTAACACTCACCCCTTCCCAAAGTCTTTTATGGAATATGCTCAACATTACAAGGTTCCACAAATAACAAGCAAATACTGTGTCTATACATAGAAAATTGGGAAATTCTATGGAATCTAGGATGTTTTAAAAAAAGCTTATAAGAACAGTGGCTGTGTAAAGTGTTTTGGACCCAGACCTACCCTTAAATATGGTTATTCCATTGTTGTTGTTTTTTATTATTATTTAAAGATTTTGTTAATGATACAATACTGAAATTCGGAGTAAAATGTCTGAAATCGAGAATCTTGCAACTATTGGTAAGGAGGCATATAATCCACAACTGAATATTGTTAGTCTATACTCACTTACCACTGAGCATTAAAAAGTGTTGCAACTGAGAATCACTAAAAATCTATTATGTTCTCCCAAATACATATTCCTTTGTCCTTGATTTGCAATATTTCAAGTAGTTGTTTGACTTTCAATCATAATTGATAACTGGAAGAGTTTTTTAGAAATGCATAATAACAAATTATATCATGTGTTCAAGTGTTTTGGATATAGCTTATTAGCATTTGGATGTGGAGATTAGCTGCAAATTTAGTTGTTAGTAATGCATATATGCAAACACAAAATATCTGGTATTGGTTTGAATTAACTACCCTTTATAGTCAAGAAGCTTTCACTTGCTTTGCTTACAAACTTTATGATCACAAGAAGTTGAGAGACTGTTTTGATTCTGTTCTTGATGTTGTATTTTATTTGTTCATGTTTGATTCTCTTTGCATTTTAAAATAACTTGATTTAAATTAATAATTAATTAACTTATTTATTTTGTGTGTAGCTTTTTTAACTTGCTTATTTGGATGTATAACTCTATGGTTCCTTACCCTGGGATAGTTTTGCTATATCTTATACTTACAAGGCTTTGTTTCTCCTTTTCATTTTGTTGATGGTTTTTTTTTCTTCTTGTTCATGAATTTTTTTTAGTGCTCAATATCTCATTTTATCTTTATGTGAAGATATAGTTAAATCATTACTTACAATAAGTTGAATAAAAAAAAAAAAAAAAAATTTTAGGTTGCCGAGAAAAAGAAAAAGAAAAACTCATAAAAGTACTATTGTAAGAAAAATTCCATTGACATTGTCCGTTGATTCTGGTGAAAATAGCTTGGTACCTTTGAAACTTTTTTTTTTTTCTCATTTGTTTTAATTGGGCTAACTTGCATTATTTTCCAAACTTCATAAAGTTACCAAATGTCATTATTGCACATGGGCTTAGATTAGTGTTCTAGAGTTCTAGTTGTGATTCATGTGCCTCATGGAGTATTCATAAGATATGATTAAATTTATAAGATAATTCAAAATGTGGAGTCTACTAAAAAATTGAAAACATAAACATGAATTAATTTTCATATATGAAACTTCAACACCAAATATTAATTCAATCTTGAGAGCAGTCACTTATGTATAATAATGCCAAAGGTTACATCTATTTTCAGTCTTCTCCTTAAACATCCTGTGTAGGTGAAATATAAGGTTGATGATGCAATTATTTTTTTTTTTATATTTTCATTTCTCTTAGTTTGCAATATGTGCGTGTATTTGTGTGTAGTTCAGTTTGAGCATTGTGCATATTGTGTATTTTACACCTTTATATAATGCAGAAAGTCGTCAAAATGTGATAGTAAGAAGTTCTATAATGGAGATGGGCCAACTAGGAACTGGAGCCAATTCTAGCAACGCTTCATTAAATTAGATGCTTTGGTTCTCTAAGTTGGGTGACACCAGATTCTATTTAGGTGGAGATAGTAGCTCTTTTAGAAATTCTCAAGGCTGTTTTGAATGTGGGGATTTGGCAATGCTTAATATAGGGAGATTCTGATATTATTGTTAGACCATGGGTGGCAGGGCAGTCCATGGCTCGTGGCATATAATCATTTGATGAGAGAGATTGTTAGAAGTCCTGGAAAGAAATGATACTTCGGTTCTTTGATGGACTCATGTAATGCTAGTTCTTTGATGGTCAAAGGATTGGTCTTTGTTGGTAGTGACTATTTTTTTTCCCCAGCTTATCCTTCATTTGTGCAAGTAATTGGTGTTTGTTCTTTTACCTTCTTTTTTTCAAGGATATCTTATCTGTCCTATTTCTATACATATATATATATATATATATCGTAACAAAGAATCAACCCAATGCTAGCCACTTTGGACTCTCGGATGGTTTGTAAACTTTGGATGCACACAATCGCCCGCAAACTACATGCATCATTTTAGTCCAGGCCTCACCTTTGGTGAGTCTCGAACCGGAGGCCCAAGGGGGTACCCCCAAAGGCTTACCAGTTGAACTTCCTGGTGTGGGCATATCTTTTTATTTTTAATTATAATTGATTCATTGTTTCTTCTTAAAGAATTGGGAAGATGTAATATTATTATTTACCCAAATTTTTTTTCTTTCTTGAAACCAAGTTGTTACATGCCTAATAACCATCTGGTTGTTGAAAATTGTTACTACTAAATGATTTTGGACTTGGAAAATGTGTAGGGAATCATTTTAATAAATTTTGATTCATTTTCAGAGATAATGCTTTAAAATCTGATGTTCCAAAGTACTCTTCTCATCTTGTTGTGTAGATGTGTAGATGTTGTCCTATGTCCATTTATCTTTAGGCTATGATTTTATTTGTAATTCTCCTTTTTGTATAATATGATATGATATATAGTTCAATCTTTCAAATAATGGTAATATAAACTGCTTACGTATTTGGTTTTTTTTTTTTTCATTTTTTTTTTTCATTAAATGTATTTACTAGTGGTTGTAGGGTTGTTGCTATAGTCATGCACCTTACATATTGTATCTAGTAATGCTGCTAATGCAAGTTGTCTTTCAGAAATAAATGAAAGAATAATAACATCTCATCTTCCCACTAGTTCTTAAGAAATTATGGAGAATTATTTAAAATGTCAATATTTGTTTTAAAAGAAAATTCTGTTTGAAATGGTGCTCCAAGAGGATGCCAAGATCTCCTATGTAATTGTCCTTTTTGTAACATTTGTGTAATTTGATATGGTATAGTTCAATCTTTCAAATAATGGTAATATAAACTGCTTACGTATTTGGTTTTTTCTTTCTTCTTCTTTCTTTTTTTTTTTCTTTTTTTTTTCATTAGATGTATTTACTAGTGGTTGTAGGGTTGTTGTTATAGTCATGCACTAGTGGAAAAAACCGTACATATTGTATCTAGTAATGCTGCTAATGCAAGTTGTCTAGTAGAAATAAATGAAAGAATAATAACATCTCATCTTCCCACTAGTTCTTAAGAAGTTATGGAGAATTATTTAAAATGTCAATGTTTGTTTTAAAAGAAAATTCTGTGTGAAATGGTGCTCCGAGAGGATGCCAAGATCTCCTATGTTGGTTATGCAGTCTCATGATTCATGAAATTGTGTGATCATGTTGCATTTTTTTAGTTTTGGATACCCGTTTGCAATAAATGTCAAGTCAGCAAGTGTACTATTCCATGAAGCATGGATGGTAAAACTGAAGATCACACTGTAGTAGCCAAGTTCCTATGATCGTGTGGACTGGTAAAAAAATGGGGTATGGGGTAGTGTTTTCTAAAAAATTTACGACATTTATTTAGATCTCTCTTTATTTGAGAATTATACTCTTAATATTATGATTCTTGATGTAGGTGTGCAGGATTCAAAGTGCTTGGAGATACTAAAGATCTTTCGTTAGCGGAGCAAATTAGGGACATGGAATATTTTGATGATTTTGATCCAGGATATTCTGATGATTCTGAGATGACAGATGGACGAATCACTTATTCGTCGTCCGAAACTGACAAATGGAGGAAGCACCGGTGTCTGAAATGGTGAAGCTTCAAAGCTATATCTGGATGTCGAGGAGTTGAGCAATTCTAACTTTCCAGGAAGGGTCATGGAGGTTTGATATCACCAAGAATGACACCTAAAGTTCTTATTTTGCGTACTTTTAGTAGTTTTGGGTACTTTTTTGTGGTTATGGGAAGACTATTGAAGGCTTGGCTGAGTAGGCCACAAGAAACAATTGTCATTTTTTTTTGTTGATATATGAATTGTTCTTCATATATCCTAGGTGAATGGAAAGTATATTCAGACCTAAACCCTAGAAGATACAACTACTGATATCTTTTCATGCTTGACTAAAGTTTACCTGGAAGTTCTCATGAGATTTACAATTGGTTGACTATTTTGATTTTATGGAAACAATTATTTCACTTATTCTAGCTAGTTTTGGTGCCTTTTATGACTTGAAGTGACAAACTATTTTACAATGAGAAAATCATTACATAATTAGTTTGATTGTCCTTGAGCTGAAATACTTTAGTAACATTAAGTGTTAACGACAATTTGCAAAAATAATATATTTGGATCTGCACTTTGATAGAGGAGACTCGTTTTCTTAGTAGAGTTGCCAGTGTTTGGTAGAAAGGAAAATGGGAAAAGGGAAAAAAAAGGATTCAGAATATAGCTTGTTTCAGAGTATCAATTTTGTAATGTGAATTCTTTGGATTGATTTGTCTTTGCTATATTGGCGTCTGGGGTCCAGTTTAACCAAACTTATAACGTTTTAATTTTTTATTTATTTTTAATAATTATTGTATTTGAAAAAGATTTTAAGGTTTTATAAATTGTAATATCTGATTCCATAGTTTTTTCTGTATAGCAAAGCACTGCACATCATCATATCTTTAGTTGTCTACGAGTCTTGCAAAAAGTTCCAAGACACAATCTGTACAATTAATTAAATAAATAAATAAATTTAAAATAGATTATTGGAGATTGAAAACCTAAATGGTTCTAACTCATGAACATGAGCCAAACAAATGCAAATTGAAAAGCCAAGGTTTACGTTGTGGTTGGGAGGAACCCTATCTCCTATAACCAAATCTTTTTTATGCATGTACAAATGTGCATACCATTCTTTTATGTATGAATATTGCTGATTTGTACACACGCACACGCACATACATGGATTTTTGCAGATAATGATATTTTTGCCCATCTAATATGTTAAAAAGAAGGTACCTTTGTATACTTACACAAGTTATTGGAAAATGTCTTTAAATGTATTTTAAGGGTATAATCTGAAATTTGATCAACAAGATTAGTGTCAAGGTAAGATTGTTTCACGATGACATCTCACGAGTTCAAATCAAGGAAATATTTCCTTCATTAAACCTTGCAACAGTCAAAACTTCCTGCATTAGGTTAGATCTTTAAAGATGATGTCAACAAAACGATAGCCTACAAATATTATTAGGAAAACTCGAACCTCTTTTAACCCAAGTGGTTGACTCAAGTAGGTAAGTAATTGGCCTTGGTACCTCACCAAGCATCAAGGTTGTGTAACTAGAGAAAAAAAAAAAAAAATGTAAAAATGGTAGTTTTTTTTACATAACAGTACAAAAAAAAAAAAAAAAAAAAAAACTGAGGAACATAGAGAGAGGTCTCTAAAAGGCTTCGAGGAGGCAAGTGCGCCAGAGTGCCAAGCTTGACCCGAAACTAACTTAGAGGAGGCCCATTTATTAAGAAGACGGATCCGACTGTTGCACATCGGAGGAGCCCAAACCAACTGAAAATCGGAACTCTGTTGAATAATACTCCGTAATAGATTTATCACTAACGAGGTCCTTTTTGACAATTTCCCAGTTGGCTTAAAAAGACTTTTAGTTGTGGTTAAGGACTAGAACATTATGATTAGAACATTATGATTAGAACTAGAGATGGGTGTATTATATATACCTTATTGTAGTGGAATATAGGGGTGGACATTTAGGGCTTTTTTGCTATGCGTTTTATTTGTGCATTTTTATTTTAATTAGAAATAAAATAAGTATTTTATTGTGAATTATTTTGAATATTAATGGGAAGCATGTTTAGTAACATTCATTTGTTACAAGATTTTTGGAAACAAAAAAATGAAAATATGTTTGATAAAAAAAAATTTCAAGTTTGAAAAATATAATGGTTAGTTTAAAAATGTCATTTAAGCATTTTTTTTTTATAATATATATATATATAGTTCATCCTAGGGTACTCATTGTTAAAGTGTTGAAAGATGTAAAAACACTAAATTGGTGTTTCGATTTTTGGTCACTATGAACAAAACATTTTGGCACTGTGCAAAACAAAACATTTTTTACCAACTACTAAAGTACATGATAAAAACAAAAACACGAACAAGAAATTGCATACTGAACATGCCCTCAATTCTCCTTCCAATCCAACCCAATTTGATCCGATTAGATCAAATTGATGTTTTAGTTTCACAGATCGGTGACGGATTGAGAAACAACTAATCTGTAGTGATCAGATTGGTTAACAAATTGGGTTTTAAAAGATCCGATCCAATCCCAATAAATAGAAAAAAATTATATATATGTATTTATATTAAATTTTGTCATGTTAATGTGCTGTTCTGTTATAGGTTCATGTTTGCCTATGTTAATGCACAAGGCTGTTAACTGTTGTATTTTATTTATTTATTTGTAGAGTACATGTATTCGTCCTACAACATAGGCACTATTTAAGTTAGGAGTACGGTTCAAAAGTGAGATTTCAAAGTCTTATTTCCTGCATTTTTATCATGTCCCTGAAGACCTATTAACTATTGTCTACTTTTGTTAATAATATGTTGTTATATTTCATTATTTTAAATTTTAAAGATAGGTTGGCACTTGACAGTTGGTACAGCAGGTGGACGTGGAGTAAAATTTAAATTGGGACGGTGTGCTACAATTAATGAAATTAGTTATCTTTTATCTATTGGGTCATAATTAAAAAAATAATAAAATTAAGTCATTTAAAAAAAAAATTAATTCATAAATGCAAATCAATCTAATTCATATTTTCTCGGATAGATCAAATAGGATATATATGTATATTTTTTTATTTTTTTTCTTTCTTAAAGCACATGTATCAATCTCACAACGCACACACCATTTACGATAAAAGTGCAATTCGAAAGCAAAATCTCAATGACTTACTTTTCGAATTATTGCCAATACAACTATGTCCCTGAAGACAAATAGAATTGAAATTTCACAAATTCGTTAAGACTAGATTAAATTATATTTGACTCCTAATCCAATCCGATCCTGGGTCACTCTGGGTGGAATAAGTTATGCCAAGAAGTAAAGAAGCGACGGTTAACTTTGAGGGGAAAATAAAAAAAGATTGTTGGGTGAGGTATATTATTATTACGGTTCCATTGGGGGTGTGGATCATTATATTTTGGGAGGGACTAATAAGTAATATCACATGTTTTGCCAACCCCAAAACCAAAACACTTCCCGCCCTTTTTTTCCCGCCGCTGCTCTGTCCCGCCCTTAACACTAGGGTTTTGACTGCTATTTCATTTCTCTATAAATCAATCTCTCTATTTACTTTCTCTCTCTCTCGTGACTGCTATTTATCTAATCTGTTATAGGTAACTGTGGTTTCATGTTGTAGCCTTTTCGTGAGTCGTGACTGCTATTTATCTAATCTATTACAGGTAACTGTGGTTTCATGTTGTAGCCTTTTATTTCCTTAAATCATGACTTCAGGTTTTACATTTTCCCTCATTTTGGTGCGTTTTTGTTTTTTGGGTTTAGTTTAATCTTCTCTGTTACTGACCTCGATATCCATTTCCCTCATTTTGCTGCGCTTTTGTTGTTAGGGTTTACTTTAATCTTCTCTGTTACTGACCTCCATATCCATTTTCCCTCATTTTGCTGAGCTTTTGTTGTTAGGGTTTACTTTAATCTTCTCTGTTACTGACGTCCATATCCATTTTCCCTCATTTTGCTGCGCTTTTGTTTTTAGGATTTACTTTAATTTTCTCTGTTACTAACCTCCATATCCATTTTCCCTCATTTTGGTGCGCTTTTGTTTTTAGGGTTTCCTTTAATCTTCTCTGTTAATCACTTCCATTTCCATTTCCATTTCCACAGATTTGATAGAATACTAGCCAAGCCATGAGAAGAAGAAGAATTTCAACCCTAATAGGGAACAGAGGAGCAGACAATGATGAACAAACTCAGATACTGGATTGTTCGGCCAATGATCTTCCGAGCCCAATCGTGGTCGATATTCTATTACGACTCCCTGTGAAGGCAATTCTTGTTTGCAAATGCGTTTCTAAAACTTGGCGCAGCTTAATTTCGGACCCCCATTTTGCAAAGATGCACTTCTCACGTCAACAGCCCTGTCCTTTGATTCGGACATTGGATTCGACGCTCGTGTCAAGAATGCTCTACTTGATTGAGCCTGAAACTTGCAACAATTTTGATCTTGGGGACTGCAGTTGCTATGGTCTCTCTGATGAATGTGGCCACCATGTTAACATGAAGCTTGACACCAAATTGAAGATCCCATTGCGCAATGCTGGTCTGGTTCTCAACGGCGAAGAGGGTGATGCCCAAATGGGTTGCTTCTCTAAAGGCAGTGGGGTTAAAAGGAAACGCTGCATCAAAGTTAAACCCAAAGAGCAAAAGTTCAAAATTGTGAATTCATGCAATGGTTTTCTTTGCTTGTCTGAACCATTTCGTAATGATCCTGTTGTTGTGTGTAATCCAGTCACGGGTGAGTATATAAATCTTCCAGTGGTTAACAGGGCTGGAGCTGAGGCTGGTGAGAAAACCAAAGAGTTCGGTGATTGCGGGTTTGGGTTCAGTCCAAAGGCTAATCAGTATAAGGTGATTAGAATGTTTCAACAATGGATAGCAGACCCTATTACAGGTAGTGAAAGGTATGGTAGTAGTGCTGAGATAAACACACTTGGCACAGGATCATGGAGAAGCATTGGTGATGCTCCCTTTTCATGTTATAGGCTAACATTTCCCACCTATTTGAAGGGATGCCTTCACTGGTTCTGTCTCAATTCCAAGACTTCTAATTATATAGCTTCTTTTAACTTCGACGACGAGCAGTTCCAGTGGGTTCCGCCACCTCCTCGTCATCATGATGTATTTGATGACAGTTGCACGGTTAGTTTGAATACAGTGAGTAATGTATCCATGGGAGTACTAAAAGGCTGTTTGTGCATGTCTGATGCCTCCAGTTACTGTCCTATTGTCATATGGGTTATGAAGAAATATGGTGTTAAAAAATCTTGGAGAAAAATGTTTTCTATTGACACCGGTAATTGTGAGAGGTGGCCTATTGATTTATATCAGCCAATAAATTATCTCAAAAATGGAACGTTATTGATGTTTCAATATTTCACAAGCTCTCTGATTTGTTATGACCCCAAACGATCACAAGAACTTAAATATCTTAAACTTCGTGGCGTTAAATCAAAATTTGAAGCAATTGCTCATATTCCAAGTTTCATTTCACTTAAGGAAGCCATTGTTGGAGATAATGTGGTGGTCCTGAATATCAATTCAAGGTAAGTATGTGCTTGTTTGCAGATTATAGTCACTTTAACACTTCAATATATTTTATAGATTTTGATGATGATATCTTACATTCATATCTCTTTTTATTTATTTGTTTTTATTTTTATCTCACTAATTCGCATTTGGAAATTATGAAAAGAGAGAAAAAAAGAAAAAGAAAAAAAGAAAAAGGAATGAATGTTTCATCTTTGGTGTATTTATTTTTTCTCCCTCTTCCCATTTCTCAAGGAACTTGCTTTCAGTAACATTTCTTTTAGGACGCCATTTTGTGAGTAGACTTGTGTTTTATGACATGCATCAACTTCAAAAGATATTGTTGGATCAGTTTGTCCAGTCAGATAATTTATTGTGAATGTAAGACACTCAAATTCTTAGAAACTACATTTTGCTTTACTTATTAGACCTTGTAAAATATCTAGTCAATGTGATATTTTGTTGTAAATAATAACTTCAATATGGGTGAAATGACATTGTGTTTGCTAATAGTTGGTAAAGTTAAACAATGGCCGGTAGTAGAGAGGCCTAATAGTTCTCTCCCCCACTTCTTTTTTCCTTTTTTGTATTATTGATTAAGAAGAGAACAATGAGTAGGTTGTTTCTCTCTCTCACTTCTCTTTTCCTTTTTTGCGTGAGGGATTTGGTGAGAGTCAGGTGAGGTCATGATTGATCCTCATGCTTCATCTAAAAGGATGCATTTGCACAAGGTCTATGAGAGGACTTAAAGGGATCCTATCTGACATTTTAGAAGCCCTATAGGAGATACTGTCTCTTAAAAGGTCTCCTTTCTAAGAGTATATGGGTATGAGCTTCCACCCCTTCCCAAAGTATTCTATTAAAAATGATCAACCGTATGAGGTTCCACAAATGATGACAGACATTGAGTTTATAGAGAGAAAATTTGGAAGATTATAAGGAATCTTGGATTTGACTTGCAAAAAAAATAAAAAATAAAAAATCCATACAAGAACATTAACAGACATTGATATTTTGTTAGATATTGTTAATGATTACTTTTACATAATATTACGAGGTTTCTGTTATACTAAAATTCAGAGTAACTTGTCTATAATCTAGAATCTTGGAAGTATTGAATTCCCAAAATAATCTTGCAGCTACTGGTAAGGTGCCATATTGTCCACCTGAAGATTATTAGTCTATGATCTCTTACCAATGAGCATTTACAAGGCTTGCAATTGATAATGAATCGAAAGCTATTGTGTCTGACTTGTCATTTTTTACATTTGATGCAATAGTTCCTAAACATTGTAGAAAATATGTTTAGTGTTGGCAAATTTTGGTGTCAAAACTTGTGTGAATCGAGTTATAATTTTCCGTTTACTTTGAGTCTTGATTTTAGAAGCTGAATGACTAGTGATTGACACAAGCTTAATACTTATCCATCGGATTTGAACATCACTTAGAAGAGATTAGTGATGTCTGAGTACACTTGTTTTTGAAAAAGGTTTTTGAATGTTTTCAAGAGTAAGGATATGTTTTGAAAATTTTGGAACATGAGTTGAGTGGGCCTTGAAACAATATACACATGGGGTTGTATTTAGTCAAATCCTGACATCTGTCTTATATTTGCAATATCTTACTCCATACTTAATAATCTTTATATGGTCAGAAGCTAGACTCGATAAGCTTTCCAATGATATATTATTTGCTTAATTTCGAGTTCCTTTGACCACTCAACGAAGTTCGGGAGGTTAGGTCTTCTGAGCAGACTTCGAAAAAGTTAACAGAATACACCAACCGGTTGGACACCTCAGCGGAAGAAATTTCAGTGTACGACTCCCCAAGCGGTTGGGGATTTGGCCAACCGGTTGGAGGTCTTTCACCTTAACTTTTTCTAATTAGATTTGAACTCCTTTTTCAACCCAATTCAAGAGAAGCCCAATAGGATTTTAAAATTCCATCTTTTATTTGTACTCTCTTGCCTATAAATACTCTTCTATAGCTTGTATAGATGCACATTGATTGAGGCACCAGTTCTAGAGATTTGAGTTTGTTTTTATATTTTTGAGAGCACACATGTACGTGTGAGTGTTTTAGGGTGATGCTCTAATTCTGATTGACAGTTTTGTGAGCTATCTATGATTTATCAAGTTCGATCAAAACAACAAGTTTTCCTTACATCTTCGTGTTCATGAGTGGAAGAAAGGCAAGTTCAATCACTTGGAAAAGCAGATCATACCCAGGAGGACAAAAAAGGGCAGATCATTGTGAAGGTGATTGCATTGGCAATCAATCAGTATTGCCAGTGGTAGCAAAGGCACTACTAGGAAAGGAGGACACTAAGTGTTGGAAGTCAAGAACAGGTGATTCCGAAGGCATTGGAATCATATACTCTTTTGGAGAGCAGTTTTGCAAGCATTGGAACTCATTATACTCTTTCTCAGAATAGTGGATTGTTTCGCCAGAGACGCCTAGTCTCCTTTACGCGACGCCTAGTCTCCTTTTTGCATAAAAAATCCCAGTTTTATCTCTCTATCTCTTGACTTCATTTTCTTATTTTTATTGCTTCGTGTAATTGGTTTATTTTGCATTAATTGGCTCAATTCCAAATTAATCTGAAAAACAATCAAACTAGCAAACTCGACCTATTCATCCCCCTCCGGACCTTTCTTCTGAGATTAAACTTCCCACATCACTTCCACATTGCGTAACTCACAGACATGATACCTATAAGTTGACCCCCAAAGATAAATTCCTTCATCTCTAATTTGCACCGTTCTGAGAGTTAGTTTGACCACCTTCAATCATAAATGATGACTGAAAGAGTTAATTAGAAATGCAAAATAACAAAAATTATACCGTGTTATTTTCAAGTGTATAGGATATAGATTGTTAGTGTTTAGAAGTGGAGATTAGCTGCAAATGCTTGCGTGCACACACAAAATATATTGTATTGGTTTGATTTAACTACCCTTTAGAGTCAGGAAGCTTCGACTTGCTTTGCTGACAAACTTTATGATTACCAATTAGTTGAGTGTTTTGATTCTGTTTTTATTGTTTTTGTTTATTTATTTTTTGGTAGGATACTCTTTGTGTTTTTATATAATTTGATTTAATTAATTAATTTATTTACTTTGTTTGTAGCTTTTAAACTTACTGTTTCATGCTTCTTATAGTTGAAATGATTTGTTTCTCCCTTTTATAATTTCTCATTTTCATTTTGAGATGCTAATTATTTCTGTTCATTTTTTTTTTCAATGCTCAATAACTTAATTTATCTTTATGTGAAGACGTTTATTGAGAAAACAATACTTGCATCTTTCCTAAGATATTTTCCGTGACAGTGTCAGTTCCTTTTTGTTTTCCATATATATGTGTGTTTGTATGTGTGTAGATATATAAAAGAGCTTTTTATCTTTGAAACCTTTCTTCCTTATTCTCTCTCTCTTTTTATTTTTTTATTTATTATTTTTTTTGGGTTGAATTACCAAATGTCATTATTGCACACAGAGCTTAGGTTAGTTCTCTAGAGTTCTAGTTGGCAATTCTGCGCCTCATGGAGCATTCATAAGATATGCTAAAATTTTAAAGATTCATTTGAGCTTGAGATCAGTCGATTTGTATCAAATTATGCCAAAAGTTAGGTCTGTTTCTAGCCTTTTCCTTGAGCACCCTACTTAGGCAGAACATAAGGTTGGTGATGCAATTTTCTTATTTATTCTTTAATTCTCAGTTTGCAATAATGTATGTTGTTTTGGATGTAAGGTTTTGGCAATACTTGCTATAGGGTGATCCTGATATTGCTATTAGATGGGTCATGGGTGGCAGGGCGGTCCATGGGCTCACGACATAATATAGGCTTTGATGAGAGAGCTTTCCTGGCGCCACAAGGATGCTTGAGGTTTTTTTATGGCTTCATGTAAAGCCACTTTGACCCTCAAGCTCCATTATAGGCATCAGGAGCGTCAAAGGATCAATCTTTGTTGGTCGTGACTATTTGGATAGTTTTTTTTTTTGTTTGTTTGTTTTTTATTATATACATATATATTTGATTTTTCATTTCTTATTTATTTAAGGATTATGTTTCTTAATGTTATGATTCTTGATGTAGGTGTGCAAAATTCAAAGTGCTGGGTGAGACTAAAGCTCTTTCGTTGGCGGAAGAAGATAGGGATATGGCATCTGATTCATTGTCTTCATATTCTGATACTGATGACTGGAAGCACTTGTGGCAGAGGTGGTGAAGCCAAAACGTTTGCTGCAATTCAAAGTGCCAGGGGAGACTAGAGCTCTTTCATTAGCGGAAGAATTCCGAGAAAGGCTGTTTTGAATTGCTCGCCTTTTGATTGTTAGGTGGAGGCAGGGTAAGGAAATTGATGTTATGCTTAGATTAACTACTTTATAATCGAAGCTAATACCTGGAGGTATTGGTTTTTTGAGCAAGTATACCTTTCCTGGAAGCCTTTCAAGTTGATATTTTGCCTACCTTTTTGTAGTTTTGGGTACCTTTTTGTGGTTACTGAGTGCTTGACTGAGTATGCCAAAAGAAACAGTATCAGTAATTGTGGTTATTGAGTGCTTGACTTCTTTAAATTTCTTAGGTGACTGGAAAGTAGTTGAGAACTAAACCAAGTAATGACTACTGATATCTTTCTCATCTTTACTCTAATCTTTTCTAGGAATTTCTCATGAAAACTAAAATTTCGACCTTTTTACAGGATATTTATAAGTTGCATGCAAAGGTGTTTCAAATTGCTATAAAATAAGTTTTTTATAGGCTGACAATTACAGCAATAATTTCAATGTTCTATCTTGATGCTTGTTATACCTAAGCTGTGGTATGAGTTAAAATGACAAATACAGTATATTTTTAGAGCAACAAGATCGTTGTATTAGTTTTATTACTTCTTGAGCTGAATTGTTTTTAGTTACAAAAGTGTTCACGACTTCTACTTGATCTTCTTATGTCGGAGTGGAAGTGTTTTAATTTTCAACAATATATCTCGTAGTTGCATCTGAACAGGAGAAAAGACACTGAGCTTTTGAGACCAGCTTTGATAATTCAAAGACTACTCGGAGTCCCAAGTACTCGTTGCTATAAAGTTGTTCGCGAATGCCAAGAAGAATTTTTGACTTGAGTTCTGGTGTCGGGTTGGGTTTTATTTCAATAATTCATGTCGAAATCAAGTATACTCTAATTAATTAATTAAAGAGTAATTTAGATATCATACTTATTTGAAAATTAAATCACATAGTACCTTTAGAATATTTATGCAATCATCTTTGAGTTTTTACAAAACATTAGAGTGCTTTGCTTCCTTTTAAGAGTTGTTATTTGATAGGGCTGAATAAGGATTTTAAAACTCTTATATAACAACATGGAGGGGACGACTTATTTACAAATAAACATATTTAAATCTACCTTCCTATCATGGAAATTTAGATATAAATGGTTATAATTAAATCATACTAAATAAGTTGGAAAATCACAATCTAACATTATAAAGTCATACTCCCAATTAGACTACCAAATTGAAAAGTATAACCCAATCCATCAAGTATCAATAATTACATTACAATTCTATTTTAGAAAACATAGTGCATAGGACCACAAAATAATTTTTATTATTTATATACAAAAATTTCCAACAATTTCCCACTTGGTTCATGCATTCTAAATTTTATAAAAATGACACTATGGATTGCAACACACTTTAGAAAAAAGTTGAGTGGCCACTCATTTTTGTTTTATAAAAATACAATTATCGAAATAGATGGATTGATATTTTAGAACACTCTCCTCCGTAAACTTCCTTAATAGTGGATCATGAATGCGTAGACAAGTAATATATTAGTCTAAACAGTTCCATGATCTCAAAACCGATTTTATCTAGGATTTAAGCAAATATAGTGGTCTTTATTGTATTTCATGAGATGTGCAAACTGCATGTGGTCTAAATGCATACCTCACTATCCGTCCTGCTTCATACCATCGCGGTATGTCAGCAGAACATATTACAGCAAACCGCCAACCTTCCGTTCAATGGAGCCAATCCCATATCTAGCCCAAGCTATCCTCATAGAGTGTAAAAAAAACTCCCACAGGCAAACTTTAATATTTATGTTTGGATTTACGAATATAGTGTCAATCTCACATCTAGTCCAAACAATCTCATGAGTGTATTACCACTCCCAGACAAATCTTATGTATGAATTTACCCATATGGTGTCAATCTCATATCTAGCCCAAACAACCTCATGAGTGAAATGCCATTCCCAGGCAAACATAATAGCACGTGCATAAACCATATATATCAAAATAATAATAATGATGCATCATAACTTTATTTTGGATGCAAATAACTGTTACTATAAGGTGTAAATAAACTGAAAGAAAACAACTATAATATAACATGATGCAATAGAGAAATCAGATATCATAAAACAATGACTCTTGAATACCCATCCGAATCACGTGCTCTTTAAATATTTTTGGTTAAAGACCTTTAGTGAGAGGATCTGCAATCATCCTTGCTGTATCTATATGGGGAACCTCAATAATACCTTGCTTAACCTTCTCGCACATGTAAAGGTACTTTACATCTATGTGCATATTACGCTTGGTCAATTTTTCATTTTTCACATATTTTGTGACAGTTTCATTCTCACAGAAAATTATCAAAGACTTGTGTATGGAGTCCATAACCTTTAAATCCGCAATAAACTGTTTCAACCGCATGGCACGTTTGGTCACTTCATAACAACTGATCAACTCTGCATACATAGTTGAATCTGCGATAATGGATTGCTTAGAGCTTTTCCATAATACAGCTCACTGAGCCAACATAAAAATATATTTAGAAGTGGATTTTCTACTACTTGAACAACCTGTATAGTCTGAATCAGAATAACCAACTATCTCTAAACAATTTGATTTCCTGTACACCAAGATAAACTCTTTTGTTATCTGAAGATACCTTAAAACTTTCTTCACCGCCTTCCAATGAGCAATACTTGGATTTTGCTGAAATCTTCCAATCATCCCAACCATATAACTAATATCTGGTCTAATGCACATCATAGCATACATCAGACTTCCAACTGCAGACGCATATGCGGTGACATCAATTTTACTTCTTTCAATCTCATTCCTAGGACATTGTTCCTCTGAAAAAATATCTCCTTTTACAACTGGAACCTCACCAGGTGCACAATTTTCCATCCCAAAAGTTTTTAAAATTTTATTAATATATGCCTTTTAAGATAAACTAAGTGTTCCTGTCGTGCGATCTCTGTGGATCCTAATTCCCAAGACAAACTCAACATTGCCCATATCCTTCATATCAAAATGACTTAATAAAAAATTCTTCGTATCATGTATCGCATGAATGTCATTGCTAGCTAGTAAGATATCATCAACATATAAGACAAGAATAATAACGACTCCCACTGACCTTGAGATATATGTATTTGTCTCCAACATTCTCCTTAAACCCATAGTTAGTAATCACTTCATCAAATTTCAAGTACCACTGTCGAGAAGCTTGTTTGAGCCCATAAATTGATTTCTTTAATTTACATACTTGATGTTTATGTCCCTTAACCACAAAACCTTTAGGTTGAGACATGCATATCTCTTCCTCAAGGTCTCCATTAAGGAATGCTGTCTTCACATCCATCTGATGCAACTCAAGATCATAATGTGCAACAATAGCAAGAATGACTCTCAAAGAATTCTTTGATGAAATTGGAAAGAATGTCTCAGAGAAATCAAAACCTGGCTTCTACTTGAAACCTTTAGCCACCAATCTAGCTTTATATCTATCAATATTTCCAAGTGAATCCCTCTTGGTCTTGAAGACCCATTTGCACTCCACTGTATTGCGATCTGTAGGTAAGTCAGCAAGCTCCCATACCCCATTAACATCCATAGAGTGCATTTCATCTTTCATAGCATCTATCCAACTAGAAGATTCATAACTCTCCATGGCTTCATTAAATGAAGTTGGATCCTCATGCTCGCCAATGTCAACCTCACTAACATACACCTCAAAGTCATCAGGTATAGCGGACCTTTGAGTTCTAGAAGATCTTCTAAGTTGATAAGAATCAGAAAGTGGATTAAAAGTTGAAGCAAGAGGCTGCATATGAGAAATAACTGAAAGGGTAGAACTAGGAGCTCTGAGTGGAATAACTGAAGTAGGAATTAAATCTATAGTAAATGGAATAGGCACAGAAGATTGCTCCTCTGTGAAAGAGAAAGTACGATGATCCAAACTCCCATTATATTTCGTCATTCTCAATAAATTTTGCATGACTAGTCTCAACAATCTCCATAGGTCTAGAGGGACAATAAAATCTGTAACCAAATGATCTCTCAGGGTACCCAATGAAATGACAAGTAACAGTGCGAGGATCAAGCTTCTTAATATCAGGATTGTACAACTTTGCCTTTGCAAGACATCCCCATACACATAAATGTTGAAGACTAGGTCTACGACCTGTCCAAAGCTTAAAAGGTATTTCAGGAGCTGCTTTACATGGCACCTTATTAAGAGTATAAACTGCCGTTTTAAGAGCTTCTCCCCAAAAGTTCTCAGGTAGTGAAGAATGGCTCATCATATTGCGAATAACATCTTGATTGGTGCGGTTTATCCTCTCCGCAACTCCATTTTGTTCAGGAGAACCAGCTGTGGTATACTGTGGCACTATACCTTGCTCCTTGAAGTACGTGACGAAAGGACCATGATTCACACCCTCCTGGTCCATTCTCCCATAATACTCACCACCTCGGTCCAATCTTACAATTTTAATCTTTTTACCTATCTGTTTTTTAACTTCAGTCTGATAGATCTTAAACATGTGAAGTGCATCGGACTTTTGGTGGATTAAGTACACAATCATACCTTGAGAACCCATCAATGAAGACAATGAAATACCTTTACCACAAATGAACAATAAGAAATGGACTACAAAATTCGCTATAAATATAGTCTAAAAGACCAAATGATCGACTAGCCTCAAAATTGCATTTCTCTACATCTATCATTTGATACAACCAACGCATAAAATTTGTGGCCCAATAATCTCATCCTTGACCAAGCGTTCAAGTCTCTTTTGAGAGACATTACCCAATATCCTATGTATAACATAGATGAATCCTCTCTAACAAAAACACGATTTTGTTCGAACGATATCGAGTCAATTGAAAACAAGAAGCAGATATGATCACATCCGGATCCATCTACCATGTCTATACCTATACTTTTACCAAGTTTGGCTTGAATATTAACATGGAGATTTTCTTTCCTGCTTTGTTTTTCTTTTTCACCACAATAACCTTTTTCTTTTGATATCCTTTTATTTTTATAGGATCAACATTTATCATTTCATGATCAATATCTTTTCACGTATTGTTCTGCCTTTCTTTATTCTGTTTAGCCTTATTCACTTTCTTGCTGCCTAGTTTATTCTTGAAACGATTTTTGCTGTCACGGCAAGATAAGCTGACTCAGTTTTAACACCCTTGAGTCACTCCCCTTCAATCACACAAAGTGCTAACAGCTGGTTAATCCCATATTTAACTTCTTGTGAATTATAATTCACCTTGAAAAGCTAAGAAAACCTAAGCAGAGAATATATCACCATGTGGACTAATAACTTATTATCAAATATGATTCTCTACTACTTCAGATCATTAACCAGCTTGCACATTATATAGATGTACTCCCTTACTGAACCATTGCCATCATATCTGACTAACATAAACCATGTCAGATAATAGTATTGTAGTTGCTTTTTAATGTCCATTAACTCTTTCATGATAAAATCAAAAAGCTCATTGGCAGTATCAAAAATCAGAATACCACCCTGAATAGTATCACCAATAGAAGCATAAATTAACCTAATGGCGTGGTAATACCTTTAGTTCACATAAAAATGCAACAACTTTTCTACCTAAGAAGACTCTGCACTGGGCATATGGGTTTCTTCCTAATAAAAAACACAGACACGTAGTCCAAAAAACCCAATATAATATCAAAATCTGTCTTCTAGGCAATATAATTTTAACCATTCAATGGTTCAATCCCTATGAGCTATCTTTAAATTACAAAAGCGTCTGTAACCTGAATAAATGTTATATTGAATAACACCACATAAACAATATATAAAATAATATGTCATAACTTTAGGGATTATTACTTTAATTCGTGCTTGGAGTTTTAAACTGAATTTCTCAGGGTGTTTGACCATGTGCAAAAACCATCTACCATGCGGGAACAAATAAAAATGCCATCTAAAAATCACCTTTTGGCAGAATTTTAGATTTTACTTTACCCCCAAACCTGCGATAAAATCGCATATAGACCTATTTGATTATACTTGAATTATTGCTAAACACTTCCACTACCTTTTGGCAAGAGGGTTATTTAGTTATAATTCAAGCACTCTCAAATATTCTACTCACTTATTCCACACTAAGACATTGATCACCTTTTGGCAAAATTAATGCCCTCATGTAGGTAAGTGCACTGTGAGATCTCAATAAGACCAATGTCTTAAAATTTCAAAAATAATAATAACCTTCGTGAGCGTGTCACTTTTTGGCAGACATCACCTATTTTGGCTAATACTTTTGAAACGGTCACTTTACCGGTCTTCCTAAACCCCAAGGAAGAACCTAAACTGCAGAAGTTTCATTTATTTAAGTTCAACAATTTTTTAATAATGCACATAAACTAAACCCAAATATTATGGAACACTTGATTTCACTGTAATATAAATGGTTTGAATACAAATAAAATAAAATAAAGCCTCCTCATACATTTTAAGAAATTACAGTGAACAATATAAAAATAACATGCACATCAATCGAGATTTAAAAAATCTCTATTCTTTATATACTTTAATTAAAATAAAATAATAAAACTTGATGCATGTATTATATATCCAATAACACTTTAAAGCCCTTGAATCTTTAAATCAATTAGTTAATACTGCTTGATTATCGCACGCAAGTTTCATGAATTTTTCAACCTAAAATTAACCAAGTATCATGAATTACTTAATAAAAACACTGGGTGGGGTGTGACTAAATAGCCACATAATCTCATGTCCCACTCAAAGGTCACTGATTTTGGTAATATGACATGAATTAAAAAATCTTAACCTGACATCAAATAGATTATTCATACATGATATAAACTAAGCAAAAACAAATCACGTTTTAATACCTCACTGTCCATTTATGCATTTGATGCGTGTATGTATAAACACATTCAAATAAACAAGTCTACTTTAAATTCATGAAAGTAGAAACTTTATTTATTTATTTATGTACATGCAATCTTGTATATATATATATATATATATATATATTCACTATACAAAGGCTTTCTCACAAAACCAATCAGTTTAGCACCTGGCATGAAAAAATTTACATCACTTGTATATGTATATCTCTAACCCATGAATATATATACATAAATTAATCATGTGTGCATACCAATATCTGTATCCATTGGACTAGTGTTTCCTAGCAAACTTTCATCATAATATAATATTATAATATTTAAATAAATGGTCTGGGTATTAAAACCAATGCATTTGTTTTATATATAATTATATATGAATCAGCCTTATAAAGCACCACTATAATCGATTAATCCAACCAACAAGATAGTGACAAACTTCAAAGCTTTACAGTAGCTTTATTATTCAAATCTTTAAGATTTTTCTTTCCTTTCCCACTTTTGTGCATCCTTTACTAAAACAGTAGTCAATACTAAAACCTTATAGCAATAATAAACACAAAAGAGTATCTGTTTTTTGCACTTAAATTGTCTTCCTCGTTCGGCGCGCATAAGAAAACAAATTCTAATTACAATTACATAAGAAGCTGATCCTTTTTTTAAAAAAAAAAAAAAAAAAAAAAAAAACGTTGTCTGTTTTTTCCTCGTTCCGCGTGCATACATTATGAAGAAAATGAATTCTGATTACAATTGAATAACAAATTGATTCATGCTTAAAATAATTCTCGTTCAGTGTGTACAATATATGATAGCATTTGAAGACAAAACCTTCTATGTTTATATATAAATTAATTACAAATCCATGTATGTACCAGTACAGACACACAATTTTAACCTTATGACGCAATCAGTTTGATTTCAAATACACCATAAATCAATCTTTACTATTTTTGATTTCTACAAACCCTAACTTGGCTCTGATACTAATTGTTGGGTTTTATTTCAATAATTCATGTAGAAATCAAGTATACTGTAATTAATTAAAGAATAATTTAGATATCATATCTGTTTGATAATTAAATCACATAGTACCTTTAGAATATCCATGCAATCATCTTTGAGTTCCTACAAAACATTAGAGTGTTTTACCCCTTTCTGAGAGTTGTTATTCGATAGGGCTGAATAAGGGTTTTAAAACCTTTATATAACAACAACCGCCGCCGGGGGGGGGGGACGACTTCTCTACAAATAAACATACCTAAGTCTCTCTTCCTATCATGAAAACTTAGATATAAATGGCTAGAATTAAATCATACCAAATAAGTTGGAAAATCACAATCCAACATTATAAAACCATACTCCCAATTAGACCACCAAATTGGAAAGTATAACCCAATCCATCAAGTATCAATAATCACATTACAATCCTATTTTAGAAAGCATAGTGCATAGGACCATAAATTAATAATAATTATTTATATATAAAAATTTCCAACAGTCGGGGCTTACATTTGAACTGAAGTAAGCTCCTAATTTTTGGTAATTGATCAGTTGACCGGATAACAATTATATGTGTTTAATAATTAATCAGTTGTCAGGGCTTACATTTGAACACAACCTGTTTAATACTCGTGTCAAGAACCCTCAACACTAATCCGACCTATTTAATAAAACGAAACATTATATTATGTAAATTATTAATAATACTCAATCAAATAATAAATATTAGAAAAATATAAGTTTGAACCCAATCAAATTACTAAATAACCTCTAATTTACAAAATAATAAATTGTAAGATACAAGTTTAAATAGTTATTTTAGAACTTAAATAAAAATTTATTTGTGACACATATAGTTAAACGGGTTGAACCCCTCAACTCAAACATGATATGATTAACTAAATTGGTTAATCGTGTCAACCCGTTTACTACCCAAATTTATTTTAGGTCAACCTAAACCCACTTCACTCGTGTCATGTTCGAGTCATGTTGGTGGTTGTGTCAAACTTTGCAATTCCTAAAGTGTGATTCAAGCTCTTTAGAAAGGACTGCTTTGAATGAATGAATTAAAGGCACTAATTAGGTTTGTGACAACCCGGATTTTTAGGATTTTAATTTTATTTCATGATTTTTTTAGTCAAGGTTGATTATTTAATTATTATTATTATTTTTTTTTGAGAATTACCCAATTGAAATATTTAATGGGTTGAATTTCATTTGTGTTAAATTATATATATATATATATATATAATGTCTGTTGGATTTATGAAGGAGAAGGTGGTAGCCAAAAATGCAAAGAAGAATTTTTTGTTTTGGATCCCACTTAAATGATGTTAAGGTGTTGATTTGGTTTTTGTTGTATTAGTATATATAATGTATATTGTATCTTATAGTTTCAGAAGAGATAAGGAGGCAGCATGGTTTCTGCCGAAAGGTGATTGAAGGAAAAGAAATTGTGATAATGGTAATGGTTTGATGAGGCCCACTTGGAGTTATTTAAATGAGGTTGAATTGGTTTTGTAATATATATATTGATATATATTATGTATGTTGAAGAGAAGATAGAGATTAGAATGGTGCACCTGCGAAATTAGGTGATAAGGAAATGGTGATTGTGATTGCGAGACCCATGGCTAGGAATTGTTTGGCCAAAATTCCTTTAGCTTTGTCCTTTCACGTGGGCTGTTGGTAGATTTGTGTGGTGAGGGTTGTTGTCGGTGGAATATTGCCTATATGTATATTGTGTATCTTGTGACTTTGGGAATGATATAAAAAGTGAATGATATTGAAATCACACAATGAGCTGAGAGCTCACAGAGAGAGACGAGAGTTTACAGAGAGTGAGCCTAGAGTTTGAGGACAGAGAGAGGTCCGAGGTTGCAGAGGAGGCTGGAGGCTTGAGGCTTTGATGATCTAGTGAGGAAAATTCTTTTTTAGGGTAAGGGTTCCTAATCCACGAAATTTCTTGTTCCTTTGTGAATTTTTATCTTGAATTATTGTCTAGCATGCCAATTTATATTGATTTTCCTCTAAAATAATTAGATTATTGTAAATGAAGTATGTAGCTATGTTTTTAGTTGAAATTGTATGCTTGTATGAATTAATTTCATGTTTATAGTCTTATCATGTTAGATTCTTGTTGAATGGAAACATGCCGTAAATTCTTTGAAAATTCTTGCAAGTATGCTAAGTGGTTTATAATTGAATTAAATGTATGATTATGGGCATTGATTAGCATGGCATAAAAAGGGCATGATGCATTCCTGCATATTATTGGGCATGAAGAAAAGGGAAATTGTTTTAAAATGAAAGAAAAGAGATTTTGGGAAATTTTTTGATAAAAAGGATTTTTAAAAAACCCAAACGCCGAGAAGGTACCGAAGGTCTGTGGAGTTAATGTAACCTAGAGGGAACTAGGAAAATCACCCTAGCGTGGTTATGACGACCTTGGATTTTTACAAACCCAGTGTATCCTGTGATGAAATAAAGATTGACCTGAAACAGATCCAAAATGTGCAAGCAAGAAACAAAACAATAGTCTCCCAAAGCACAACACACCTCAAAGACTCTAAGACGACCTTCCATGAGGTCACGGAACCCAAGGGAATACAGTGCGGAAGCAAGAGATCGAAAAAATAACAATTCAGCCCCTAGGGGCAAAATAGTCATTTATGAAAATATAGATTCGGGTGCCACCGATCACACTGTTGGAAAAAAAAATGAAAAACCAATCAAGATGGACTCAAGAATTGCATGATTCGGAGTCCGGACGAAGGAGAAACGGTAAAACGAAGAAAAACGAGCCCTTAATGCTAAAAGGGGAAAAACTGGTCATTTTCTAGGGAAATCCGGGTGTAACTGAGCCCACTGTTGGAAATACAACAAAAAATCAATCAAGATGGACTCAAGAATCACTTGATTCGGAGTTCGGACGGCAAAGATATCAAGTCCTGAAGTCGAAGGAAGGGAAACCCTATCCTGGTTCGAACCAAATTCTAACATTACCTCACTAAAACTTAAATATCTTGAGCTACAAATGGAATCTAAAGCTCTAATTGATACCATTGGAAATTTTATTTTGACGCGATCAATTTAGACTCAAGAACGGATCAATTCGAAGTTAAAACAAAGAAGATACAATAACATGAAGTTAGAAGTGCAGTGCTGAACCAAGACAAACACACACCCATGAATAGTACGGACGAGCGCTCGTCCAAGGGCGATGAGCGCTCGTAGATGGCACGCCCTAGGGCAAAAATCCACTACCCTTATTACGAGCACTCATCCCCTATGGACGAGCGCTTGTCTTGCAGACAAGCTTATAAGCTTTTTGGACTTCAAATGTGATTTTGAGGACTTTCTGGGCATTTTTTAAAAAAACACAAAGAAGAAACCCCCCCCCCCTTCCCCAAAAATCATGTTTTCTAGCTAACCATGCCAAAAGAAAACTTTATTTTTCATGTGAAAACCCCAAAATGCCCTTATGCTTAGTTTTTGCAAAAAAAAAAATGTGAAATGAGTCTATTGGAGGCTCAAATCACCAAGGAATGGGTTTTTGCCCAGAAATGACTATGCACACATGTGTAATATGATAAAATAGATGGGCTAAAATGGCCTATGGCCTCATGACATGTCATATGCAAAATATGACCTTTAAATCTTACAAATCGCATAAACAAATTATGAAGATAATTAGGCATACATGTTATATAATTCTTTTTGGCCCTTGGCTTCATTACATACACCTCCATAGGGTGACAAAAGGTGCACTTAAGTGCACATTACATAGTTTGAACAATAAATACAAGTTTTAATACAATAAACCAAAAAGGAAGCATGATATGCTAACAAGTGCATATTCTAACATAACAAAAATGCTCCAAATAGTTAAGCAAGCCAAGGGGTGTTGTGGATCCCACAATACCATTTCTTTACCTGAAAAACACTTGGTTACTTTGGGGTAAGTAAACAAGTTTACTCGTAGGGAATGAGCATGCAAAACTTAATTTTTATACAACTTGCAATTTGATGTAAATCAATTCATAATGTTTAACCGACATTGGAACTCCTAGCACAATGTAATAAGATACAACTCACAAAGTTATCAACTTGGAATTTAAAACGCGAAATCAAACCAAAGTAGATACTTGGACACGCCGGATCAGACCGACACCATAGTTCTAATGTAGGACTTCAGCAATCCATTTTCAATAAATATGATAAAAGACACAATTGATGAATATATGATCCATAGTATCCAAACCTTGAAGGCATAATGAGTATCTTGAAGCCAAAGATAGCTTTCTTCTCTGTAAATTCAACATAGTAGGGAGTTTATTGTACAACACCAACACTGCAATTAAAGACCAGCGAGGCCTACTTTTACCCCAAACCAGTTTATACCACTGTACTTCAACATTTGGAACTCTGCACCATTCCCATGCTCTGTTAAAAGAAAATAAACCACCATTCCATATCAATTTATATGGTTTACACTGAATGCTGATAGTGTTAAGATAAGCCCTGAAAGGAATAAGCAATTCATCTTGCAACAAAGCAAAATTCCAGGCTCCATTGAGCATAATACTACATCCCTGTGTAAATATAACATTCTAGCCAGCGTATGACCAAATTTTTGTGTAATTGTTAAACCCTCACACCAAGGGTCAAGAAACAATTTAATTTACTAGCCACTTCCAACTTGATAAGAAACAAAAGAAAGATAGGATTCACCACTATTTTAATCAACTCCAACTTACCAGCAAGATACAATAGCTTAGTATTGCAATGAGAAATCTTTTTAATAAGCTTATCAACCAGATTACAATTATTCCTTTTAAGACCTGAAGAACACAGAGGTAGGCGTAAAACATAATTAGTATACAATTTGTATTGCATATTATCTTCTGCTGTTGGACATGGTAGGAAAGTTAGTTTGTTGATGCAATATACATTCATTTAATAATTATTGACTCCTCGAAAAAGTTGATAATAATTTCTTTATTATGATTACAGGTCTGACTATATAGCCAATTATCGAAAAGTTAATAGCAAATTGGGAAGGATGTCGAAGGCTCTGATGAATTCAGTGCACAATGCTTGCAGAATGACATGGAATGGTATGTCGGCTAATGAGAAATAATCGTGGGTAAGGGAAAGAAAAAGATTAATGGAAGAGTATGACAAGCTCGCTCCAGAAAAAAGAGCTCCCATATAAGAGAATGTAATTATATTTAGTTGTAATGATTTAATTTTATGGCTAAGTTCTTTGAAAAGATTATATGCATGATGTTTGTTTTTTAATGGTATGGCTTTGAAGCAGAAGAGAAAGGCCAAAAAAATTGCTCATCCAGGTACGTGGCATAGATGCACGGCACAGATGTGCCGTTTCGAAGTTTGTTCAAGTTGTTTCACAGCTTGATGAGAATAAGAGAAAAGCTGTGGAGGACATTGGATTCAAAAATTTATTGAAGCTGAAATGTACATATATGTCTCGGGACTTATGCATGTACTTACTAAAGAATTATGACCCTGATAATTCTTGCATAAGACTTGAGGACGGAGGCTTTATATCGATACATTCAGCCGATGTGCACTCGATTCTTGGGATACAATTAGACGAAGGTGGTTACTTCGACACAGGCGAAACTCATTGTTATTTGACCAGGTTTTAAACTTAAAGGCAAGTGATGAATTCAAGAGAGCATTTGTCCTCTTTGCTTGTTCCACTTTACTAAGTCTTACTGGTAGAAATGCATGCCACTGGCGCTTGTTGAAAAGTGTGGATAATGTTAATAGTATCAGTACTTACAACTGGTGCGGTTATGTCCATGAATGTTTGTTGAGAACTATGAAACCACGTACAAATGGGAAGCTGAAAAAGTCATATGGTGGTTGTTTGATGTTTTTGCAGGTATCATTGCTTTCATTGCTTTTGTTTTCTTCTGATTTCTTTTTCGTTTTCTTTACATTTCCTTTTTATTTACTTTGTTTCTTGTAATTGAAAACAGCTACTTTATATGATGCATTGTGAGACAGAATATGGAGGTTACCCAGAGGGAGATATTAAAGCCCTTGATTTTTGGAGCACAGAGATTTTTCGGTCATACGTAAGATGGGAATTAGGTAATGGAGCTTTTGGTCGTGGACAGATAATTGAAGTTTTGCTTGTTAACATGAAATTTATTTTCTTATATGATAATGTAGTGACTCACTTATGTATTTTCATATGGATTTTTAATAGTTGGTGCCTCTTAAGGCGAAGACATGTAGTAGAAGCAGAGGCGATGATGGTGCAGCCGAAGATGGCTCCGCCCCTTCTCCATCTGATTTATTAACCTTTGAATATGATGATTACGAATGTTCTGACTCAGAGGTGGAGGTAATCATTTAGTGAGTGAAATGCATTTCATGTATGTAGAATATTTGTTTTAAAATTTACAGATGTGTAATACCCCTAATTTTAAAAGGATAGTCCTGGCATTTATTTAATTGTTTAATCTTTTATTTAATTGTCTAATTGCGTGTTATTCTATTAATTGGTTATTTTAATTGTGTGTTTCTTCCATGGTTATTTAAATTTGATTTTTGTTTTAATTAATGGTTTATATTGTTTTGTTTTCTTTTATTAAATTATTTTAAATTAAATTGTTTTTATGATGTTTTATTTGACTTAATTGATAATCGGTTTTAGTTAATTAAATTGGTTTAAATTAGGATTGTGTTTTTCTGTATATTCACGTATTAGCCGACATAGGTTATAACTTAGGTTGTTCTTGGGCCGACTAAGTGTTGCATTAGGGCTCAAATTAAACAAGGATTAGGGTTTAGGTTTTTTACGCCTATATATACATAGTTGTAATCTGTATTAAGGGTTGGAAAAAAAAACTTTACTCACGTAACATAGATACAGAGAGTTACACAGTGAGGCTTTGAGAGAGCAGAAAGTTACACAGTGAGGCTTTGAGAGAGGACCAAGGGAGGATTTTGGTGGATTAGGTCAGAACCAGAGGAGGCTAGAAAGTTTAGAACAACGGCGACAAGGTTTTGGTTATAAAACTGTACAGGCAAGTTCTTATCTTCCTCCTTCCCATTGGCTTGTGTTCTGTGCACCTAGACAGTCTCTAGGAGATTAATTGGCCTAAAACTGAACCATGCATGTTTTATATATGTTCTACTTGATCGTTTTATCTGTGAAACATTTATTTACAAAACAATTATAGCACGTATGTTTTCTTGACTCTGTTTTGGCATAACGTCCCACTGTTTTAATTTTTATTTTGAATCTTACTGAAATCAACCACGGTCTAATTGGATACTAGATGTAATTTAAGACTTCAAATTTAAATTGGAGGAAGAACAGAGGGGTTGGGATAAAACTGATGTTGCAATTTAGCTTCAGTGTTGTTCTTCAACAATGCTAGTTTAAATGGCTTGATTAAACTTTGTAATTGTTTTCAAAATTATTGTAAACAATCTTGGGGAATGCTTCTAGACTAAATTAAGAGTCCTAAGATTAGTTTTTAGAAACCAACAGAGTGATAGGAATTGATCAGAGAAGGAGCGGACGGACTGAAACGAAGCAACGGGGATAAGGCTCTCAGAGGAGGTGAGAGCCGGCTCCATGGATGTGGGAGCCGGCTCCCACAACAAGTAGAGCCGACTCTAGGGAGTCCTAGAGTCGGCTCTAGGCTGGAAAAAGAGCCTGCGCCAAATTTTGGAGCAGGCTCCCTTTTTATTTTCTGATTTTTTTTAAGTTTTTTTTTTTAATTTTCTACGTACTGTGTTCACTGTTGGAGCATGGAGACTATTTGGTTGAATTTGGAACTTTACAGAGGGATTAAAGAATGAATTTTGAGTGTTATTAAGACCCTAAATTGATTAAAGTGTAGTTCTAAATTGTCGGGACAAACAGTGTAAAAATTGAGGCACGTTCTATGTTGTTAACAAATGGAAGTTAAATTAATTGTTGAAATAAATTTCAGCAACTTGATGGAATGTAATGTGTTTATTAAACTTGTTTTAAAATACATTCAAATGCATGATAAGATCATTTAATTATTAAGTTTGATCTATGCATACTCGGGAGGCTAGTTGCTGAATTATTAAATCGTTTTCTTGCAACTATATGGTTAAATTCTTGGATTTAAATTGCTGAAACTTTAAATACTTTTCTGCAATTATTTGGATAGTGGTTTTGGACTGTAGATTACTTGTTTATTATGTATACATTGTAATTTACCTGGATATGGAGGATGGTATGTACCGGTATGGGACGGTGACATACTAGGAACGGTTTAGCTCAAAATGCCTAAACCTAACCTAACGGATTAAAGGAATGGATTTATAAATATTGAATCCTAATTTTGGTTAAGACATATCAACTGCAACTAAGTTGAGTGGCTTCCTGGATTAACGGACGGTGGTTAAGTCACATCAACTGGATAAGTTGAGTGACTAACCAGTTGGTTTGTTGTATGTCAGTTTATTAAGTATTTGAACTACATACCCTGGATTTGGACGGACTTTATATATATGTTTATGGTACCACGAGTTGAGCTTAAGTCTCAGACTCGTTGGTTAGGGTGCGTATATGCAGTAGATGCGTAGCTGGTTATAATAGGTTGAGGTGTACCATGTTAGGTCTAGGTACTCATGCCCACCTTTGAGTGCGTATTCGCATGTTGCCTTCTATTCAGGTTGAGACCCCTATTATAGACTAGTGAATGTCCCTTAGTGTGGATATATTTATACGTATGGACTAGATAGATATTGTGAGGTGTCTACGGTGTATCTGCGTATCGGGTCACTGTATGGATTGTAGTTAGACTAGAACTTGCTCATGGGTCTGACCCACTCCTTCATTATTCTTTTCAGGTACAGGACGGTTCCAGCCTTAGAGCTTGATCGTGCTTGTCGAGGACAGTCTCACCTTCATCTGATTATGTAGGACTTCTCTCGATATTTCTAGCATTATCTATTTTCAGTTTTCAGTTTCAGTTGAACTTTTGGTTAGGGGTCCATCAGTGGATTCCCAAGTTGTAACCTTGAAGTTTTGGAGGATTGGAGTTTCAATTTTCAGTTATACATGGAGGATTTTGTAATTAATGTTTCTTTCAGTTTTATTCCATCTATATTATTTCATTTTGTCATCTGTGTTCGCTTTAAAATACTTTAATTGTTTGATATTCCCTTGGGTTTGGGTCTGGGCCTGATCAACCCGTGTCTCGGATCTGAGGGGTATCACAAGATGTCATTGAACTGTATATACGCAGGTTTACATTAAAAACTTTAAGATGGATATTGCATTAGCCGAATTTAATGCAAGAAATTCGAAGAAGAGTTTAGGAAAATTGTTGACTGCATTGAAGAAGCGTGGAATTCGGAAAAAAAGGAAAACTGTCTGGGGACAACAATGCCAATAACAGCAGTATAGGTGGGGAATGTGAAGATGGTAAAAGAGGTGGTAAGGATGGGAGGGATGTTGAACCGGTTAACAAAGTAGGTGAAGATGCTAGCAGAGGTGGTAAGGATTGTGCAATGAATGATGAAAATGATGGTGAAGACTGTAGTGGTGATGATGAAATAGTGGGCAAGGGAAGTGGTTTAGATAATAGTGAAGATGAATTACATGGGAGTGAGGAAAGTAATGGAAGAAGTGAGCATGAGTCGAGTGTTGCGGAGGGTGAAAAAAATGAGGGTTGTTCTAGTCTTAGGCAGGAGGTGTTGGTAACTGCAGAGGAAAAAAATGAGGGTCATGAGGTTATTGATTTAAGAAATATCAAAGAGGGAACCAGTCATGTAAAAGATAAAAAGGGAAAGGAGAAGAGTAAATTAAAAAAATATTGTTTTTGTCCTTATGTATACAAAGGCGGCAAAATGGTTAGTCTGTCAAAGGAGAAAAGCATGTTGTTGACATATGTGGCAAATGCTGAGGCAGAAAAAAAGTAAGTTTTCCAATGCACCGACTTTTATTAGACTTGTTACATCATTTGAATGCTTAGTATATATTAAAGGTACATTTAGTTAAAATTGAGCTAATATTCCTTTAATATATTTACATTTGTGGATCATATAGATAGGAGAATATTAGTTCTGCCAATGGATTGCATTAGTATGATACCACTTGAACAGAAGATGTTCAAAGCCTCAAATCCATTTACAATGAGGTGTCATAACACCAACTTCAATACACTTAAGCTGTAAAACAAAGTGAGAATGAAACACACAGCTTTAAGTGAGAATGAAACACACAAGGTAAATTTGTCACTTTAGTAATTAGCTTCAATTGTGAACCTCCGTATATTTCCACAGCCTTTATATCTTCATTCAATCATGGTAACAGGAATAAAACAATGAATAAAGTAGGAAATAATAACTTCAGATCACAAAAGGCTTGGAATGCAATTTACCCTACCTTTTAAGCTCTCAAGGACAATTATATCAACACACCTGAACCTTGAGCAACTATAGGTTCTCACACCGTCAAATAATCATTATAAACTTGCACCAACAATGTTGTCAATAAGCACAGCAACATAATCACACTTTAGCACAAAATCAATAACAAAACAAATAGGCTTAGGTCAGTTTTGTAGCTACTATGATCCCTATGAACCGAGTGTAGAAAAGGTATTCTACAAGGTCTCAAGCCTGGCAAATATTCTCCTATACTTGGTTTATCTTCTCAAAGAAAACTTAGAGGTTGAGCACTTCGTTATGAATTAAATTTTAGGCCCAAAATTTGTTCTAAACCAATTTCTGCACAAACTCTGCAACTAGGGACTGAAATCTAAATTCACAGTTGCACTGTTTTGTACTCGAGACCCTCAGTCATATTTCATGATAATATACATGCTCAAACAGAAATCTCATCAATGATAGCAAGGTAATGTCTTCTTAGTTGAAATCACAGTAAACAGTCCTGAAACCCTAATAAGTGAGGTTTAATAGGTTAACCAGAAAGATAATCAGTTTTCTGGTAAATGTTGAGTTTCAATAGCCTTTAATCAGTAATGGAAACTTGCTAGGATGAATAACATGCAGCTCATACCAAGATACAAATAATATAAACTCAGATTAAGTGAGAAAACCAGAAAAATAGGTGTAATGAAGGTGTGAGATGTAAAATCTTACTTCAGCTCACTTTGGTACAAGAGAGCACATTCTGCCAATGTAAAAACCACAACCACACATGCTTGAACCTTGTTTTAACACCAGAGGTAGCCACAACTTGATTTCACCTTCAGCAACCTTAGATTTACACCATAAAATTAACTTCACAGGTACATTTTATAGTTCAGTGGATCAGTACACTCTTCATGCTAATTTCAGAGATTAAAAATAGGATTGTTCATGAACTTCCATAAATGCCCTTCAATTGTCACTTGTTGTGTATACAGGAGAAATACTAATTTTTAGCATAATTGACACAATGCACCTTCATAGAAGTGATTTAAATTAGCTCTGCTAACTGAAATACCCTTGATACCCTTGAGGTTGTAGGCAAAATGACTGAAATACCCTTGTTAAGACAACATGTTACTTGGACCAAAACAGGTAGCAGCAACCTTTTGTAAATTCAGATTATTATTGTGCTTGACTATGGATATCTGAACCACCACTTCTCTATCACCTAGTTGACTTGCCGAGACAACAGATAGAGAGTTTTGAATATTCTCCACTACTTATCCTTCATTTTCAATACTATTTCTATCTTCTTGCCTAGACAGCATTGACAAAAGCTCTTCCTTCTTGTGAAGCAGTCTCTTTACTTCCTTTTGTAGCTCTGGTATGTATTTTATCACACGTGACAGTGTTTGTGGAATGCTTAATTTTTTATGCAACAAAATATGAACACCATATATGAATAAACTATATAAATATCTGTGTAATGTATTGTTTATTGTACAAAAAATGTTTCACACCAATACTGGCTTAATATATTTACATTTCTGGATCATATATATCGCAAAATATTTGTTCAAAATGAAACTAAAATCTTAAGCTTTGTTGTTAATTATGTCAGTGAAACAATTCTTTCCATATACGGTACTATCGTATCTCGCCATGAGATTCATAGTGTCTTCGCTGCTAACTGGGTGTCCAACAATGTGAGTTAAATTAACTTTGTACATTATTTATACATATGTATGAATGTTAATTGGATTACTTTAACATGTACATAAAAAATCTGTAATTTTTACAGGTAATAAATTACTTTGGGAATATGTTAAATAAGAAGCAAGGATCCAAGGGGGACAGGTACTACTTTAGTAATAAAGCCATGCAGTTAATCAGTGAATTCAAGGTAAGAGAATTAAAGAAAAAACCTGAACGCATCAGCCGCCTTAAAGAAGTGTGGGAAAAATTCAAGAAGCATGGTGAGTACTGTTTTCTACCTGATATAGACACAGCAAAACTGGTTAGTGTGTTTTTTCCTTTTCTTTACTCCATAATCTTGTAAACCTTACTTTTACTATTTATTAACTCTGTATACTTACATTACTGCAGTTATTTTTCCCTGCATGCATAGAAAGATATTGGTTACTGTTTCTTGTCAACCGTCCGAAGAAGATGGTTGATTACCTTTGTTCATTGGGAAAGCTCCATAAATATATGGATTATGTTAAAGTGTTAGTACGTATATTTAGTTTGTCTTGATGTAATTGATTAGGAGTGAATATTTATCATTTTCAACATATTGGTATGTACAACAGAAAGAGTTTATTGGGATTATGTTTGAGGAAGATTTCACAGAATTTCTGCCCAACACACCAAGGGTAATATCCAGACAACCAGATGGGTAAGAATAAGTTATTATGTATTTAATTAGAAAACTGCCCTATACATTTATATAGGTAATTACTTTCAATTAAAAAACGTTGCCATTGCAATGAATCATGTGGACTATTTGTCATGAGGTTTATGGAGCGATGGAATGGGAAATGTTTATCCCCTACTTTGGAACATGTAAATAAAAAATGTGATAACTTATTCGTACAATATAATGCATATAATTACATTAATGGTTAGATCTCACATTTACTTTATCATGAATTAACTAAAAGTGTTATAATTTTCATAATGTTGCAGACAGACGCGAAGGCGATGCGTTCTGAAATACTGCTCCAGCTTTTGGATAATAATAGGAATGAAAAAAAAAGTTGATTTGTACACCCTGTCATCTATTCATGGATCCCAAATGAACAATTAATTTGTGTTAATTTCGTACAATTAATTTGTGTTAATGTGTTAAAATTGATGGCTGGCAAATTTTTTGAAATGTTGTAGGACTAATACACAAATTTCATTTATTAGACATCAGAATGTTTAAGCACTATGGGTTACAACATATTTGTACATAATATAACATTTATCTTAACATACATCACAGCTTTTACGAGTAATGTAGAGCAAAGGAAGTTAAAGGGAGCGTAGAAGGAATCATTAAATACGCATCATAATTTTAGACTAATATGTGTTACAATGTTATTGTATATTCTATATGAATTTTTTGTTTACATGCATCACAACTTTTAATTACGAAGTTAAAGGTAACTGTGAAATACACATTATAATTTTTTACTAATATGTGTTGCAATGTTATTCTATATTATATATGAATTCATTGTTAACATACATTACAATTTTTAATTACGAAGTTGAAAGTAACTGTTAAATACCCATCACACTTTTTTACTAACTAATATGTGTTACAAAATAATTTTGCATAACATATGAATTACTTCTTAACATTAATCCGAATAGTTCATTTATGCAACAACACCTACATGAGTAAAATCACTGCCAATCCAAAAAAAACCAGGCTTGCAAGAAAAAAAAAAATAAACAAAGCTTTTGCGATTGACAAATGTAAATTTAGAAGATCGGTATCTGCAGTAGTTGTTGTTGCACGAGCAACAACGTTTTCAACCATGGATGGTGGATCGATCCACACAAAAAAAGAACAACGCTTTTCTGCACAATTGAAGAATCGTTTCCTAGGATTCTCTTTGGTCTTTAAAACATACATACAAGTCCTTTCTCCACATAAACAAATTGGATGGTCAACATCACCTCTACAACATACTCCAGTGCTGCTCAATGACGCCATTGAAGACGGTAAAAGTACGCAGTCAACAAAGTACACACCTTAGATAGCTCCTTTGTTAGAGAAAAGTGGAATAAGACTGATGATTAGAAGGTTTTCAGGCTATGTATTTCGACGTACTCCAGTAGTGCTCTGTTACTGGTTCTTTGTATATATATATATATATATATATATATATATATATATATATATATATATATATATATATATACATATACCTATGTGTGTGTCTGTGTGTTTATAACAGCTCTCTAATGGTTCATTTATAATGATTCAAATTAAAGGGTCAGTCATCAGTTTCAAAATAGTTTAAATAATTAGTTTTAATTACAATAAAATAATGTTTGTATTCATTGTAATATATATTGTCAAAGATGGTTTGTATTCCGGGAAATCAATTAACAAAAAGAACAAAAAACAGAGGGCTTTAGTTAAAGTGAAATTAAATGGGGCTGCCGGAACTACTGCCGGAACTACAAAACAGGTACAAAAGAGTTGGGAACAAGAAAATGGTTGCTACATTCACTTCAGCCCTTCTTCATTTTTACTTATATTCGCATTATACTTCTTTCCCTTCATATTTAGAAGGAGGTATTGCCAAACCCGCCGGTGGCTTTGTCACCATCATTTTCCAAAAGGTTGAGATTTCATATTTCATATTTCATGCAGTACGCATGAAAGTAAGTTCCTTATAGGAACTACAAAAGGCTTGCAAAATACATGGATCTATATATCACATAACAAAAGAGTTGAACTGTTGGCTCCCTTCTACGCATCATCTAGGTTCTGACCTTCATTTAGAGAGGATATGGGAGATGGAGGAAAGAGCTCGTTGATAAGGGCATTGTCGTGCTCGTTTTCCAGGTCTGCTAAGCGACGTTCCACCTAGTGTAGTTCTTTCTCCATCATTTGCATCTTCTTGATGACACGGGTCAGCTTACCTATGATAGTATTCGGAAAGTTAGGATGTGTCATATCCAACTCATCATCAGTCTCAGTCGTGGTTGTTTAAGGTGGGGGGACTAGTGGTGGAGGAGATGGGTTAGTTTTCCTATCCATCTTCATTTTGGTTGTGGTTATACAAAGTGTGGAGAGTTAGGTTTTGTAGGGTTAAAATCTAACTACCATATCTGATCATACATAAATGCCTTGAGAGATGCATCAGAGAGAGAAGCATCAGAAAGGTTTGTGTGGCAAAAGGAAAGATACAGCTGCATTCAATTAGTTGTTCAGCAAAACAGAGTGGAAATGCTGCATTCAATTAGTTGTTCCGCAAAACAGAGATGCAGCTGTATTGTATTAATAACTAAGATATTTATATAAAACAAGTTTAGTTAATGAAGTTGTTAGGTATAAATGAAAATTTAATGGTGCCCAATTACTAATTACTATTCAGTTTACTGAATATAGATTATTCAACCATAAAAATTCAAGGCAACTTCTTGCAACCCGAGAAATAGGAAGGCAGCTTCATCGGGAAGTTGGTAAGTGTTCCTATGTTAAGTATAATATTTCTATCTTAACTGTGAATATATAAATTATACTTTTCAGTCTGAGCACTTAAGTATTCATTTTTTTGTACTTACTTTTTAGATTGCATTGGCGACATGGTTTCCATTCTTGTTTACTATGGTTCATGTATTGGTGAAATCAGAAATGTGGACCCAGAAAATTATGGTTACCAGAAATTTTTAGAAGATTTGTGTGGATTGCCATTCATTCGTGCAATTCCATATCCTTTTACCATGAACGTATATGCTTCTATCCCTGAGACACTCGACACAATGGTGCTCAGTAGCGATTCAGATATGGCGAGGATGTTTGAATTGAAATATGGCTGTAGAACAGTGATTGTTTTCTTTGAAACACAGGAAATAGGTTATCCATTAGCTACCTGCTTTTGATCCATCTACTACTGTGACTTGGAAGTTTAGAGGTGGATGGATGAAATAACTTTTATAAGTGTTTTGTGGTTCTTCATGGTTTTCTTGTAATATTTTACTTATGTTATGTAGTTGTGACATATGTTTAAAACATATATAAAGTTGTGACATATGTTTAAAACATATATAAAGTTGTGAGATATGTTATATTATATACGTCTGGCAAATTGTTGTGACATGTGTTTAAAATATATACCTATATGATATACAATATACTTGTGGCACTTGTTATTAAAATGTTATGACGTCACTTTCAAAGTAACATCTCTATACAAAAATTGTATAACAATTACAAATATTATATTTTGCTACATCACTTTCATCATGAATTATTCTATAATTCATATACTTGAATACATGAAGAAAGTCCATTCTGATATGGTGAAAGTCCACTGTGTGTTACCCATTCAAAATACAGAACTACCCAAATAATCCTTCTATGTGATGTGGAGAAAGACGACCTTGCAAAACCATGATATTTAAATTACACCAACAACGATTACAATTGATGACATCCTCGTTAAAGATCCAGCAATGCCAATCAATATGGTTGCCTTCAGGACAACATTTTGGAACATGTGTAAAGAATGACCGATTGCAGGAAGAACTCCTCTCAATAATTGTTAACATCTTTCTACGGGCAGACTTGATAAAAGTGCTGAGTATTGAATTTGTCCTCAACAACATTAATAAATTAATCCCGCTTCTTTGTCCGCTTCATTGGAAAACAATAATGCAATACACATAGGATAGAGGGACGTGTAACCATTTATACGGAGGAAAGCCAACCCTATTTTTTCATTGTAAACAATCCAATCAACCTGTGCAATTTTTTTTGTATGTTAAACCATACAAATAAATAAAGTGTAATATGTAAAAGAGTACACATGATCTTAGTAAACATACCACTCCCTTAATAAACTTTGCAACATGATCCAAAGATTAAAAACATTATTCTAGGTACATATGTCTTGCTGGGATACTTTCATTTGGCCCATTACGTGCAACTAATTCAATTGTTGCATCGTATCGCTGTAGACCCGTCCTCCATGGTCCAGTGCCCAGTTCTGCCGTTTCCCTTCATTTTAAATACGTAGAACACCCATATGTCTCACTTTAGTAATGTAGACCCATAACCCGATAATGCATGTAAATTGTAAACTATAAACTGAAACATAACTCACCATGCATGCTTCTCCTCACTGTTTGTAAAAGCTATAGCCTCAACTCGTCTACCACATCTTCAATCGCAGTAAGTAGAACAAAATCCATGGTTTCCGAATACATGCAGCGACTGGATATGGCGTAGAGGATGGCTGATGGCGATATAAATACAGGCATAAATTTACCTTTAAACAGTTCCTAGGGCAGTTATAAAGTTAAAACGTTTCAATATAACAACGGTTACAAGGGTAAGATGGAAGTTTCCACGTGTCAATCATTCATACGTTTTTTTTAAGTTCATTGATATTCTAGAACTGTACACGTGTACATTATAAAATAAAATTTATAATTAATGGACGGACTGCATCAGGTTGAAATTCTGTTACGAAATAATTCCTACAGTACATATAAATTAATTATGACAAAACATATGAAATTGTTTTGATGTTATTCCCAGTAAATTAATTAGAAAATAACTATTATAATAAAGGTACAACTTCAGAAATAATATTTCTTACATCCACTTACATTATTTCTTTCTACCATATCTTGGAGGTGGAATTACAAAGTCATCATCTCC